AAAATAAGCCGGGCGCGGTGGCTCACGCCTGTAATCCCAGCACTGTGGGAGGCCGAGGCGGGTGGATCACGAGGTCAAGAGATCGAGACCATCCTGGTCAACATGGTGAAACCCCGTCTCTACCAAAAATACAAAAAATTAGCTGGGCATGGTGGCGCGTGCCTGTAATCCCAGCTACTCAGGAGGCTGAGGCAGGAGAATTGCCTGAACCCGGGAGGCGGAGGTTGCGGTGAGCCGAGATCGCGCCATTGCACTCCAGCCTGGGTAACAAGAGTGAAACTCCGTCTCAAAAAAATAAATAAATAAATAAATAAATAAAAATGAAAGAAACATACAACCTAGAGGGCAATATACAAGGGCCATGCGCAGCTCATTTCTATGACGGCTGGTGATGGTGGCTTAAACCCAAGGGTGGCCACTCTGGGAGGGGGACCAGGTAAGGAGAAAGCGTGGCCCGGGCGGGGGCGCGGCACAGGCAGAGGCCAGGCAGGCTGGGATCTGGGCTCTAGCTGGGCAGCAGCGCCTACTGGGCCTCGATCTCAGGTCCCAGCAAACCTGGCCCCTGTCCCCAGGGCTGTCTACCTGGTGCGGCACCGTGACACGCGGCAGCGCTTTGCCATCAAGAAGATCAACAAACAGAACTTGATGCTGCGTAACCAGATCCAGCAGGTCTTTGTGGAGCGCGACATCCTCACCTTTGCCGAGAACCCCTTTGTGGTCAGCATGTTCTGCTCCTTTGAGACCCGGCGCCACCTGTGTATGGTCATGGAATACGTGGAAGGTGCGGTCCCTGGGGCTTGCATGCCTCCAACGACAGGGAGCTTACCCCTCCACGCCTGGGAGAAAATTTTAAGACCATGTTGAGGTCTGTTCTGTCCTCCACGAGGTCTCATGCTGCTTTGGGGGATCCTCAGGAACCCCAGTCTGGGGTAGGGAGCACAGCCATGGGGGTTCAGGACCGGGAGAGCCCAGACAGGAGTGTGTGAGGATGGGACCTTGGAGGCAAGAGGAAGGGAGGCATCCTGGGTGGGGGAACTGATGGGCAGAGGCCTGGAGGCCAGAAGGGCAGGCAGGGAGATGTATGGGTCAGGCAGGTAAAGTACTATTACCAGAGTACTGCCAGGCGAGACGGGGAGCATGCACTTAGGAGACACCAGCTGTGTACAGGGGAAGAGACCACTCATTAATTGCTGCCCTGCTGGGGAGAATCAGAAGGCAGGGTCTTGGTCTGACTCGGTGGCTCAGGCCTGTCGTGCTAGCAGTTTGGGGGGCCGAGGTGGGTTGATCGCTTGAGGTCAGGACTTTGGGACCAGCCTGAGTAACATGGCGAAACCCCGCCTCTACTAAAAATATAAAAATTAGGCAGGTGTGGTGGTTCACACCCATAGTCCCAGCTACTCGGGAGGATGAAGCAGGAGAATCGCTTGAACCCTGGAGGCAGAGGTTGCAGTGAGCCACGATTGTGCCCTGCACTCTATCCTAGGTGACAGAGCAAGACTCCATCTCAAAAAAATAAATAAATCCCAGCACTTTGGGAGGCCGGGATGGGCAGATCACAAGGTCAGGAGATCAAGACCATCCTGGCCAACATGGTGAAACCCCATCTCCACAAAAAATACAAAAATTAGCTGGGCATGGCAGTAATTCCAGCTACTCAGGAGGCTGAGACAGAAGAATTGCTTGAACCCGGGAGGCGGAGGGGGCAGAGAGCCGAGATTGAGTCACTGTACTCCAGCCTTGTGACAGAGCAAGACTCTGTCTCAAAAAAATAAAAATAAATAAATAAAAATTTAAAAATAGGCCAGGTGCAGTGTCTCACACCTGTAATCCCAGCACTTTGGGAGGCTGAGACGAGTGGATCACAAGGTCAAGAGTTTGAGACCATCCTGGCCAACATGGTGAAACCCTGTCTCTACTAAAAATATAAAAATTAGATGGGTGTGGTGGCGCACACCTGTGGTCCCAGCTACTTGGGAGGCTGAGGCTGGAGAATCGCTTGAACCCAGGAGGCAGAGGTTGCAAGGAGCCGAGATTGCACCACTGCACTCCAGCCTGGCAACAGAGCGAGACTCCGTCTCAACACATAAAAATAAATTTTTTTTAAATTTAAACTAAATGAAGGCAGGGTCCGCTCCTTCCCTCTCCCACGACCCTCCCCGCTGAGACAGAACAAACTTGGGGACCCTCTGCAGGAGATGAAGCGAGGATGATGCGTAGGCTTTGGGCATATGGGCCAAGGGGTGGGGCCCCAGGCCTCATGACCACATCCACCCCTCTCCCAGGCGGTGACTGCGCCACGCTCTTGAAGAACATGGGCCCGCTGCCCGTGGACATGGCCCGCATGTACTTTGCCGAGACCGTGTTGGCGCTCGAGTACCTGCACAACTACGGCATCGTGCACCGTGACCTCAAACCAGACAAGTGAGCTGAGCCAGCACGCGAAGGCCTCGGGGAGGGCGGGGCCAGAGCGGCTGGGGGCGGGGCCAGAGCAGGTCGGGGGCGGGGCCTCAGGTGGGGAGCCCCACCTGTCTGATAGTCTGTTGGCACCTCCTGACGGGAAGGCAGGGAATGAGCACAAGGTGAACATCTTGTGTGTACAGAGGAGAGGAGAGCAGACACTTAATAGACATCTGCTGTGTGCAGCGGAAGGCCGGTGCACTTATGGAGGTGCTGCCAATCAAGGGGAGAGGGGAGAGGATGTGCACTTAGGATGCACACACTGTATACAGAAGGGGCTGCGCACCCAGAGCTGCTGCTGCACAAGGGGAGAGAACATGCACTTAGAAGGCACCAGCTATATACACAGAACAGGATTATGCAATTTGCAAGACCTTAGATGCGAAGACAGTGACCATGCAGGTCTTAAGCACCTGCTGTATATTAGAGCGAGAAAGCAACGAAGAGAACATGTTTACTGAGAGCCTTAGGATGTTTATTTGATTCTAGTATGTAGTAAGCACCTACTACATGCCAAATCCTCTATGGGCGACTGGGAGACACAGGGCCACCTGCTTTGAAACCCCTGTATGATTTTCTCGCCTGCATTTATTGAGCACCTGCTGTGTACAGGGAAAAGGGATGCCCGTTTATCAAGGGTCCTCGAGATATGAGGCAAGAACTAACGTTTCTCACATACATGTGTGGAGATATGAACATGAGTGTGAAGAGCCTTGTACGCAGGCGAGGCATGGTGGTTCACACCTGTAATCCCAGCACTTTGGGAGGCTGAGGCGGGCAGATGACCTGAAGTCAGGTGTTCAAGACCAGCCTGGCCAACATGGTGAAACCCCGTCTCTACTAAAAATACAAAAATTAGCCAGGCGTGGTGGTGCATGCCTGTAGTCCCAGCTACTCAGGAGGCTGAGGCAGGAGAATCGCTTGAACCTGGGAAGCAGAGGTTGCAGTGACCCATGATCACGCCACTGCACTCCAGCCTGGGTGACAGAGCGAGACCATCTCAAAAAAAAAAAAAGAGCGAGCTTGCATGTTTTCAGGGCATTTTGCACTTAACAAGTGGCTTAGAAAACAGACATATATTTGGCACCTGCTGTATACCTGGGCTTGTGCTCGATGCTCCGAAGAACTCCGAAGTATGAATGACTCCTTACACAGTAACGTAGGGTTTCTATATCACATTTTCTTGGCTGACATGTACTTGTTAGGCACCGGGTGTGTACAAGGTATGCAGAGCAACAATTACTACGCAATGACTGTATACCTAGTCCAGAACAGTTTAACTATCTTTATTATTTTTTTTTTTTTTTGAGACAGGATCAGTCTCTGTCACCCAGGCTGGAGTACAGTGGCGCGATCTTGGCGCACTGCAACCTCCATCTCCCAGGTTCAAGGGATTCCCCTGCTTCACCCTCCCAAGTAGCTGGGATTACAGGCTTGCACCACCATGCCCAGCTAATTTTGTTGTTTTCTTTCTTTTTTTTTAATTTTTTTTTTTTTTTTTTAAAGACAGGGTGTTACCATGTTAGTCAGGGTGGTCTTGAACTCCCAACCTCAGGTGATCCGCCCGCCTTGGCCTCCAAAGTGCTTGGATTACAGTCGTGAGCCACCACACCCGGTCAGGAACTGTTTTTTTTTTTGAGATGGAGTCTCTCTCTGTCGCCCAGGCTGGAGTGCAGTGGCACAATCTCAGCTCACTGCAGTCTCCGCCTCCTGGGTTCAAGTAGTTCTCCTGCCTCAGCCTCCCAAGTAGCTGGGACTACAGGCCACCACGCCCAGCTAATTTTTTTGTATTTTTAGTAGAGACAGGGTTTCACCATGTTGGCCAGGATGGTCTCAATCCTGACCTCATGATCCACCCACCTCAGCCTCCCAAAGTGCTGGGATTACAGGCATAAGCCACCACGTCTGGCCCCTCTGGAATTTTTTTTTTTTTTTAGACGGAGTCTTGCTCTGTCACCAGGCTGGAGTGCAGTGGCGCAATCTCGGCGCACTGCAACCTCCGCCTCCTGGGTTCAAGCGATTCTTCTGCCTCAGCCTCCCAAGTAGCTGGTACCACAGA